TCGAAACGACCTCTCTACTACTGCTCGGACCACTAACACTCGAGAGAGTTTGTTTATCTGTACAGAGTTGACGCTTTTCCGATTATTTGTTACCTTTATGATACCTTTTCCAGTTTTACAGACTTTTCAGCTGCTTGTAAACAAATAGGGAGTTCAAAGGTGAAGACCTACATTTCCGTCAATAAAAATGGACTGAACTGAACGGAGCTTCATCCCATCAATGTGTAACTGGATGCGCATTTCAGGAATTTCAGTTACTTGCCGGCGGTTAAGCTCATCTAGCAAAGCACGCTCCATGACCAAATGGACATAGTTCCCGTTGGTGAAGACCTTGATGCCACAAGTTCTTGGGGTTCTCAACAGCGTTCGTGGGTCCTTCGGGACTTCCGGATGGTAGGGCCAGAGTATGCCAAGCAATGCCGTCATGGTCGACAGCGACATTTGCGTCTTCAGACAAACTTCTTACAAATCCGTCAGAAAAGATTTCCCACGTTCTTCTGACATTTGTTCTAAACTTTCTGCACAATCTACACCCACTATTTATCTGCATCGATGAAATACCTACCAATAGAAACCTCGGGCGTTAGTTCAGGCACTTATAGTTCTGGCGAGTGGCTTGGCAATGAGGACGACGTTAGAACAGAAACATGTTGAGCAGATTCCGTCGCCGCATAGTACGCCCTCTTCTCGCGCCTGATTCGCTTATACGCGGTGCCCGAGTCGACCGCTATATAGTACACTCAAGCAGTCAGATTAAGTGCCATTCTTATAAATAACTTAAATTACGATTCTAGAGACTAAAATAAAGCATTTACTTATTACAATGACATATTGCATCGCACAGAAGAAATAAATAAGTAAATGAATAACGTACTGCAGTCAAAACGAGCAAAGTAAGAATCAGGAGTCGGTCAGCTGTATGGATCACGCGTGCACACAGTCAACGTAAAAGTGCCGTCCACGTGGGTAGGTACATGACCGACTTAAACAAGGCCAATATTTGCCTTCGTGAAACATGAATTTCTCTCGATGTCATACGACTGAAAACACATTATACAAGTTAAAAAGCTTATATTTCACGATAATAAAGCTCAAACAGTCGAAAATAATGCAGAATGACGTGATTAGAAAGGATGGAAATTTGGACGGGGCATAGCCCCGTCTAGCCCCGTCTGGCCCCCGGGGCCATGTGTTGGCAGGGTCGGTTCCATAATACTTACATTTCATGTTTACTTAGCACCGGTAAAAACGATAAACAAAGGCTCTTGGTGCACCCTTTTATATCACTCTGATATAACGGATACCAATATCCAATTTGAACAACCTGGCTTTATCTACAGACTATTTTTAATGATCTTACTAAGTTACACATTAAAAGTAACAACATATCATAAAAGACAGCAACAGGACATTTTATTACGTACCACAGTAACGTCTCAATTTAGAAAACTAGGCAGTAAAAGTACTCACGCCAGCGGAACAGGCATGTCAAAAAGAATATTTCACAAGTTCAAAGACACTGTTTCCCGTCAACAAAGTTTATTTGAAACGAAAAGTGTATGTATATTCACGGAGTAATGCCTGTGCATTGTGCATTAGCTATGAAAAAATACTTTGATGGGGCTAGTCCCTTTATAACCCCTCCTTTGCTCCCTATAAAGAGGGGGCCGAGGGGGAGATGAGTCACCGTCCACAAAGCTTTCCGTCTAGGAACCGCAGTTGTATCGCATAAACTGTCATCACCAAGGCCGTTTGAAGTCATTTTTGAAAATGAAGTCCAGGCTTCTGATCTCCTAGAAGGGAGAGCGTCCCTTCGTCATAGGCATATGCCTATGCCTCCCTATATAGGGAGGCGCTTTTCCAGCCAGATTGCGAACCGACACTAAATGGGGGGGCTCTGGACAGAACAGAAGGAGAAAGGGTTAAAAATGAGTGTAGGGAAGATAATACAGATCAAACGATCGTTCCTGTGGCCAACTCCCTTTGTAATCAGGACTGGTCCTCACCGAGGAATTGGTCAATGAAGGTGATGTACTCGAATGTGCAGAGCCTGTTTACCAACATAGGTCAGTATATTTTTAAGGTAATAGGCAATGCCTTTGAAAACCCTATGAAAGTCTGCTGCGTCGGAGATTCGCACCAGGGGCCACTCGAGCAAGAACCGGCGCTCTTAACCACTTGACAACGCGAGAACAAAACCGGCGTCACGAGCAGGATTTGAACCTGCGCGGGGAAACCCCATTGGATTTCGAGTCCAACGCCTTAACCACTCGGCCATCGTGACACGACCTCGTCACTAATGTAATTTGAACTTTGGTGCCACCGCGGCGTGACCAACGAGTTCACCACTAGACTATCGGCTCAAAAGAGGTCAGAGTCGAACACGGGCAGTGGATCCGCCAGAAAACCGCCATTACCGCTGGGCCAGTGACACACAGTAAACTCAGGACTTTGGTCGACATGCACACACCAGATATCATCACCTTGACAGGAACGAGTCTTCTGTAGCTATTTGTGAATATGAGTTATCCTTTATAGATTATCGACTGTTAAGGACAGGAAAACGCGAGATGCAGAGGTCGTTGTTTATGTTAGGTATGATTTGACCGCAGTCCCTATGCAACATCCCATAACAACGACGGAGGTGGAATTTTTATTTTAACTATCTCCACTGAATACGCCTGGGCACTGGCGTTTGCAGCTGTACACTGTTCCCCAAATCAGACTGCGAACACTATAGTCTTCTCCTAACGGAACTGAACAAGACCTGCTAGAACAGACATGTCCTTTCTGTCGGGGACTTTGACTCTCCCATTATCGACTGGCAAGCTCGGCCGATTTTGAGTTCATCGGACACATTCTGACGTCCTTTATTGATAGATAGATAGATAGATAATTTTTATTAAAGACCCGTCGGGATCCCATCAAAGCAAG